AGGGAAAACTTATATTGCTACAAAGGCCTCATGTGAAGAACAGTGAAGTGACAGTCATTGTGTGTATACATATCTCTCCAGGAAGACCTGACCTACTTCAAGATCCTCCTCCTGCTAAGGGAGTTCCCCTTTTGTCCTCTCTCTGCTAATAAGCCAACAGAACTTTGGCTGCATTGTCCAGAACCAACATAATGTTGAATTTCACAGATATACAGAGGGATGAAGGCCATTAAATTAAAATTGTCTCAAAACTAACGTACTGGGCTGTTAAAAGGAATAAAATTTCACTTGGTATCCTGGATTTTCTGTGAACACTTTGCTACATTTACAGTTGTAGCACATAATAATCTGGAACTCTGCACCTTTTAAAGCATCTGTGTATTTATGTCAACTTTGTGTGTGGGAACTTCCAGGCAGCTGACTCCTTCATTGGGATATTTTGCTTGAGACCATATTGGTTACTGTACCTCTAAACAATATATTATATTAAGGAGGGACTGTTTACTGTAGTTATATATATAGACATCACAACTAGGCAATGCAAATCAGATTGCCTATTTACGTTTCCCTCTCTAGTTAAACTGAAATTGCTACCTGTGGATTATTATTCAACATGTAGTCTGGATGAGTTTCAATTAAATCTGAAGAGGGGACTTTGACAATGTAAGCAGTGGTCATTTCTGATGTTAGCAGGAATTCTTATATCTAAAATCTGATGTCTGCATCTTTTTACTCTACGAAAGACTGGTATAAATACTTCCACTGGGCTAATCTAGTGTAAACAAGGTTGTTCATCAAAGCAATGGAACATGTGTTTTGTCTCTTCATTACTCTTTATTACTTTCTGATATTTGTAGTCTTAAGCCAAACATCTGGAAGGACAATCTGGCTTCGAAACCAGTTACTGAAGATGCTGTTAGATGTAATTCGTTCAGACAAACTTCATCTGTCCTCTGAGTAAGTAGGAACAATTTAGGAAGGTATAGGTAAATGTCTCTGTCTTCTAGATTTCTTCCTTGCTGGTGCTTGATGAGGACACACTGATCCTATTTGAGTCTCAGCAAAATAGTAAGCAAAAGCAGACTGGATTCAGAGTTATTTTTTGTCAGTGATTTATCTGGCATTCACACAGATGTGTGATGATAAAGTCACACATCTGATACCCATTTTGAAAAAAGTTTAATTTTTGCAGAAAATGTCTCAAAGGAGGAACTCATATATTGCTGTTTCTTCTGCACTGCAAGGGTTGAAGAAATCCCAGCTGTCTTTGAAAATCAATTGAAGCTAATGTGGGATTACTTGCACCCCACTATTGTAACCATGAGCATGCAGTTACTATAGTTCTACCTTGTATAACTGGAAGACGGAGGTCTTAGTGCTGGGTGCTGATACTGTGCATTTTCATTCATTAAAATATGTTGGACTACAAAATTTAAACTGGAATTTTAAATTTCATAGGTTGAAAAATATAGTCTGAGAATTTTAAATTTCATAGGTTGAAATTTATAGTCTGTGATACAGTTTACTTCAGTTCTTGATACACACTATCAGAAGGAGCATTATGTTAATGAACTTTATTGTCTGACAGTAATATAAGGTTGGATTTAGTAGGAATTAAGTGCCTTGAATTGTGTATTAAATTTTATAATTCTGTGTTTTGGCATGCCCTTAATCAGTTGTTTTTGGTTTTTTTTTTTCCCTAGAGAAACTTGAGTTTCTAGATCACTTAGACGTAATTTTTAAAATCTCCTTTCTGTCTTCCACCATGTCTCATTTCATGTGTTTTATTTCCCTGTTTTTTGTAGGCAACAAGAAGAGACATTTTTGGCGCTGGGACCAGACTGGTTTCTGCTGTTCACACAGAGCTACCTGCACTCTAGCACAGTTGTGCTAGGAATCAAGCTACTTCTGTGTTTCCTCCACAATCGTTTGCTGCTGAACAAATTCAAGGAGGGGATAGTAGCGGGGCGCTGGCTGGAAAACAGCTCTGCAGGAGTGACTGTTCTAATGGGTATGTGTTGGTTTAATGTTCCCAAAACAATCCCTTGAACCATCTCGGTGATAGCAGATTGCTGAAATGATAGGAGAGTTCCTACAATCTCAATAGACCAAGAACTTTTACTACTTTCTAGGGCAAGTTTGTCCTAGTGCTTCAGCTTTTCTATGCTGAAGAGTGGAGAGCATTGCTTCTCCTTTGCACGACAGTTGGCATTTCTGATTAGCAGTTGCAGGGAGATGGCCCTTTTTGTCTTGTATAAAATCGGGCTAGTTGGTAAGCTTGTGAAGTGTTCAGATGTCAACTTGTGCCCTGAAACCTTCTGTTTCTTTAAGATTTGTTCAGCTTGCTTTTTGTTAACTAGACCTGTGGTTCAGAGTAGGGGAAGAGAAAGGAAGGACTCAGGAAAATCTCTTGTAACAAAAGTGATAGTGGGAAAAAATGTTATCTGCTAGTCTGAGGAAGTTTTTTAAACTGTTGCTGTTGCAGCTTAGCAGAGTACTACGTGACATGGGACACATACAAATGAGGATAAGAAGTTGGGTTAGTAATCCTTCCTCTGATATGGTGTTCATTTTTACACAGTTCCTCAGAATGTTTTCTTTTTCTTTTCTTTTAAAGATAATTTAAAAACTCCTCCTCCAGTGCCTGACAATGGCTCCTTCTTGATTTTTGGGTTTTCTGTGTTGCAAAGATGTCTGACTGATCATGTCCACATCCCTGAGATCTACTTGCTCGTGGCAGGGCTCTTTCTGGCAACTCCACCATCTGAACCACCTGAAGTGGCTAAGGTATGAAAAAAATAGCAGACAAGCATGAAGTTGTTATTGCTTCATTACTTTGGCATTTTGCGGCCTTTTCTGTGAGAGGATTCTCAAGCAAGTTGACCCTACTTGATTTTTGTGGTAGTTAAAATTAGTCATTCACACTTTAAGTAAGTTAACTTCGATTTAAAGAAATTTGTGTTCAGAACAAACTTGTTCATGTAGATCTTAAATGCTATTTACTGTACTTTAGAAGTTATTTTAGATTAGCTTCCGTGACTGCTCTTATATTGTTTAAGACTCATTAAAGTCTCAGAATGAGTAGACTTGGTAATTCCCTCCATTGTCCTGAGAAGCCATAAGACAGTTTTGTCCCAGCAGTGCCAAAGATGTGCTTCAGAAGACAATCCATTAGTGCTATCCTGGGAAAACATACTTAATAGCTAAAGGAGGAGCTGCTGAAGATGAAAATGTTTTGGTGTTTTCCTGATGTGGACAGCAGGCATTTTTCTTGATGTATTACATGCAATTCACATCTCATGAAATACCTTTCCTTCTGTTGTAGAAGGATCTTGAGTCTATGTTGCAGTGGATCTTACAGCACCACCTTATGGAGATTGTCCTTGAAATCGGGTTGTGTGCAGAGGCAGCTGCTTTACTGCTGGAAATGGTTAGAGTCACTGTGGACAAGGTAAGCATTTTATTGCAAGGACAGTGCAGCGTGAAGGACAGAATAAACTGGCTGAGAATGTCACATGTCAGTGGCAGTCTTCTCCTGCCTTTCTCTGCCCTCACAGGGCACTACTGAGCATAACAGAGAGCAGGTGCTTCAGAGGATCAGCATAGCTATTGGTCTGGTTATGTTACATAGCAGGTGTGATGGGCTCATGTTTAAGAGCTGCTGAGCACAAAGATGGATCTTACACACAGCATTACCCATTTTTTTCATTCCAGATGATAAGAATATGCCAGCTCTGTGGTAGGATGTATCTTCAATCTACAATTGAGTGTATCTTCAATCTGGGAGTTGGCTGCTTGTGCCTTGCCTGACTTCTTTGTCCATGTCATGTTTGCTTAGTTGTTTATGAATATCTAGAGAGGAGCAGATATGAGCTTATATGAGTGAGAGGAATGCCGCCTTGACCAGATGGACGTATGTCTCTGTTCAGCCTGTTGCAGATGCAGAAGCCTCCTGGGAGATTGCCTATCCAGGGAACGTTATCCAGTTTCTGTGCTTCACCTATCGCATTTATACTCAGGATCCCGTTTGGCACTGTCCTGACTTCTTGAAAGCTTTGGCTATGGTTGCTTTCCATTCTGGACCACCCAAGGTATGTGCATCTAAGCCAACATGAGCTCTTCAGATCACAGATGGGTTGCTAGGAGGAAAAATCAATTCAGAGATGAATTAAAATGCATTCCTGTCTGCTTCCACAGGGAGGCGCTGAAGGCCTTTTGACTCCTGATGGTCCAGCCGTTGCTGAAGGGAAAGGCTGTCTTGATCCATCCTCTCTTCCACTTCTACCGCACCCTGCCAAGAAACAAGTGTGGGATTTTGTGCGAGTCCTTCTGATGGACAGTTTTGTCAACATCCCAGCAGACAGACAAGGGCATCCACTTGATCTGCTTCTTGAGGTCTCTCTTGTAGTCATCAGGCTTTGCTGCTCTACCTTACACTGGGGGTGGAAGGACAGGAGGTACCCTGCTAGTGTACTAGTGAAAAAAGTGCTAACAGTGACGAAGAGGTGTATTCGTCCAGCATTTTCAACAGTCTAGGAAAAGGCTGGGATCACAGCTCTTGGAGAGCATACATAACATCCTGGCAGATCTGGACAGCCAGCTTAGTGGAATGGAATTCCTACCTTTTCAACAATGAAGAAAGGCCTTTTCTGCCTGCTCTATATTCATGTGAACTAAGAAAATGCTGCCCCTAGACAACAACAAAGGCATTTTTCAGGCAATATTTAATATTGAAGTATAGTGTGAAGAAATTTTCCTTTTCCTTAGTAATATCTGCTTGTCATTAGATCACCCTTGGATTTGTTGAGAACAGAAAATTTCACATAGAACATTCCTGTGTTTTCTGAGACAATTTCTGTTCATTGCTCAAATAAACCAAAACCAACTGTCTTCACTTTTAGTACAGATTAATACAAGCTGTAGCAGCTGAGTCTGGATCATGGACTTTCAATCAGTTAAAGCACCGGAAAGAGTTAGAATAGCCTGAAGAAAAGGAAAATGAAAAATTTAGGCTTCAGCTCCAAATTGTCAATAGTCCAGGTGTTCCAGATGTGAGTTCTGATGCAGACATAGCTTAGTAATACAAATGGTGATGAACATAAGCTTGACTGCAACTGTCATGAGTTAAATAATTTTGTGGAGCAGCAGTGCCCAAAAGGTTTATGCAATAACATTCCAAGTATTGGTACAGTTTAAAATAGAGTGTGACTCGTTTGACTGTCTGAATCCTGAACCTGCTAAATGGAGCTGGAAGTTCCCTGAGGGCAAGATCTCTTGGGAACCACCTGTGAACCTGGGTTCTGGTTCTGTGCAAAACTTTGTGTTCAGTGTGCAGAGGGCAACAGTGCTGGCTGTCAGCTAGAGAATGTAGACCTGTGTAGCATTTCTTCCTGTTTTCCCAGCTAGGGTGTAAGGTTCTGTCATCTCACCTGCTGCCCAGTAACTGTCCGCACATGCACTCTTGCTAAACACTGCATGAGAGGTGCTATGTTGCCTTGCACAGAGGAGCACACCAAATCACTGCATTTATGTGTTACGGTGGATTAGCTGTCATAGATAACTTCTCATCTTGTAGCAGCTGTTTCATATGTTCATAGTGAGGGCTAAAGTGTGTAAGTGAGGCGGAGTAGTTGTCTTTGCTCTTCTTGTTTTTTCCTTCACCTTCCCAGTGCCTAGGTGTTTAAGAGAAATATTGGGCATTTTGAATTATCTCAGATAGTACTGAGTATCTCTCGGAATTTCTGCTTGTTTCCTTGAGCAAAACTTCTGAATCTGGTTTTTGACAGGCATAATCTGCCAAAGATCCAATGAAATCAAAGTGAATTTGAGTCTGATTTCCTGGCTGTTTTCCTGCAGTACTAACATGTATACGGTCACTGTGTAGGCTTCTCCAGAGGATGCCACCGGTGAGCAGAAGAGACATTTTCAGACAGCAGTTTTGCTGTCTGCTATGGATGTCTTCAATGTTACCACCCAAGGCGAGGTGAAAACAAGACCAAGAGGTGAGCGGTGAGAATCAGGTCATTAGCTAGCTGGTATTTAGCATGTAGTTGTAATTGCTCAAAAGGTTTGGAAACAGTAGCTGGAAGCACAGTTCAACTCAGCAAGCTGGACTGTCCATTCACTCCTGCTTTATGCCAGTTTGCATAAATTACTGTGGTTTTACCATTTTTCTTCCCTTTTTCTCTTTCAGAGAACAGATTCTGAACATTAAAAAGGGAATACTTAGAAAGAAACCCAGCTTTATTCTTGAGTGCTTCTGGTAACAACCCTGATAACTTAGTGGTTTCTGCTCTCCTTTCTGAGTGATTAGTTGGACCAGTCCTTCATGATAGTATTTTAGTGAGACTGGTTTTGCGCTCAGGATGGAGCTATCATTTCTACTCTGAGTGAAGTATTTCTGTTAGACCTGGAGTTTTCTTAGACATGTCCCATGTCTGAGACATTATGGCCTCAGGCTGTTCCTTCTCAGCTCTGGTAATCTCACTTATCACATTGTGGGGATTTTTGCGTTTCAGCTTGTTTTGGAATAATCAGTCATCTTGTGTCCTCTCCAGGGAGCAGTGATCCTCATGGCACTTCAGAATCAACTATGCCTGTCTCCATGATGAATATTGCTTACTTTGCTCAGAAGCTGGTTGAGAAACTGAACAGCAGAATGTTTGCTGCTGACCCCAAGCAAATCCTGATCTTCACTGCCAAACAGATTGCAGGGGTGAGTTACATGAATTTTTTTTGCAACTGCTATCAGCATATTGTAATGTGCTCTTTCACACTGACATTGTGATACCACAGTTCTCAAAAAGATGGCTGTAATCCATCTGGTAATTGTGCTTATTCCTGTTTTCTTACATGAGCACATAATGGCTCTAAAGGACAAACAGAGCTAGATGGTGCAGCATATAGAAGAGATAGTTAGCTTTTTTTGTGCTGCTGTCTGTTTGCTATGTACATGTCGCTGAACAGGAATAAATCTCTTCCACAATTCTGGGGACTTCAGCAGAAATACAGGAAAAATGAATTTGTATCTAACAGGAAGTTAGGAAGAATTTTGCTGAAATAAGTTTGCAACAGCTTAAATGAAGTGAGAGGAGAGGATCCTTGGGGAGAGAGTTCTTTGAGCAAGCCAAGTACTCTGCTGTTTTGTTTTCACAGGTCTTAGGAAGCTCCATTTCTCAAAAGGAAGTTCTCCTCAGTGCCCTGTACAGCTGTCTAAACAGAGCCATCCTATACTGCCTATCCAGACCACAACAGTCTCTGCCTGAACAGTTTAATGTCCTGAACACTCTCAATGTCCTGCAGGAGCAGTGGGACCTTATTCTTGCAACTTACAACTCAAATAATAATTTTGTCATCTGCCTAATGTACTGCCTTTGCCAACTGAATTCGGGCAGGTACAAATGTTCATCTCAGTATAACATTTGTTTATATCTCTGTGCTGTTATCTATGGAAGTGTGTGCAGAGAGGGAACTTTCACAAAACTTGGGCAATATGCATTTTGAGGAATCACTAGAAGCTGAGGCTGAGGTTGATTTAGCTAGACTAAGAACTCTGGATATGGTACATGTATCACATCCTAGCAAGCATTTGACCCATTGGGTTCAGTGCTCTGGGGGTTTAAAGCACCAGTTTGCTTTAAATATGACAAACCTTCCACTCTGATTTGATGTCTGTTAAAGTGGCAGAGTAAAGCCACTTGGGGAAAGATAGCTGTTTTCTTCATATGCTTAAAAATGAAAAACAACAACAGAAATCCTTTGGCACAATTTTTTATTATTTATTTTGGAGGATAGGAAGTTTGCTAATGTGGTCATTATTCTGGAGGCAATGGAATGGCTTTCAGCGAGAAAGTGGAAGGATAAACTGTTCTTCAATCAGAAGGTTATTTTTTCCTTGAAATATACTAGTGAGCAGAAAGTTTCCTATCACCTCTCTCACTCAGAGACAGACTAGTACATGTGTTTGTGGGTGTAATAAGCAAGGGATATTGGATGGTAATAACGTAGCAATGCCATTTTTTATTTTTTTTTTTTCATTTTGAAAAGGGCATCTCATTTCAGGGACACCCAGATAAGCTTGCATGTTTGTCTAAGTAGAACCCTTAAATTTGCACGTAGGTTTAATTGCTACTCTTTATTAACCAAAACATCTGTGTTTTATCTGTTTTACTCATCGAGCATTTCCAGCAGCTTACTCATTTCGGAGGAGTAACTGCAGTTAACAAGGTTGAACTGATTTCAGTGGAGCTGGTTCACAAGCCTGTCGTTAAAATGAGAATCTGGAAATCTTCCTGGGATGTGGGCTAGAATCACTCCTCAAGCATGCAGGTGGCCAGTCTCTGAGACATCTGCAGGAGCTAATTTAGGGAGATGATTTTTCTGATCCAGCAGCTATTCCTGTGTGGGTACATTAAAAATGTCTATAAAACTGTGTATGAATCCTGTGAATCTGTTATTGTTACTTGAGTCTGAGCTGCAAAGTCCTGGTCATACTGAAGTTGTGTTTTGCCATTGGCTAGGGCTAGAACATCCAGACCTGCTCTGTTTGCTATTCTTACAGGTGATGTATCAGAGGTACCCTTGCTAGTGCAAGCTGGGGAATAATTTTGGAAACTGTGTTTGGGGGAGGGGTGGGGAAGACAATATTAGGTAATGCTTTATTCACTATAATGATGTTTGCTGTTTCATTAAAACCTTCTGTGCTGCTTAGACAGTCTGAATTGAATGCATTAACACAATACCACAACAGAAATAAGCTGCACTTCCTGTGGTCTTTTCTTGACTGTTTTTATTCCAGTCAGATAATAATTTCCAGGCCAAAACTGTTGAGATGGGGTAAGGGTTGCTCATATGTAGCAGAAGCAGAAAACATTTTCTTTTTTTGTTTAGTATATTACAGAACTGTTGGTGTTATCCAAAATCGGAACATAGCAAATCCAGCCAATCAGAATTCTGGTATTTAAAAGAAAATCAGAAATTGAAATGGCAGCTTTGCATACCCAAGAAGTCTAACTCTCCCATGTAGTAGTGCCTTTTTACAACTGAAAGAACTTAGTATTAGTAAGTTAAGTTACTGAAAGTACTTAACTATTAGTATGTTAATAATGCTTCTATATAATATATGTTATTGACAGCACTTCTTTGACCTAGTCCAGGTTCTCTTAACTGAGCCTTTTGTATTTATTGTAAGTATTCTGTGCTGAAATTCCTGGTTTCTTTTACCTACTGACTGGTAAATTACCTGACATATATCCCACTCCCAAAGCAGCGTTAACTTTTTATGGCAATGGTGATGTTCTCAACTATAATCTAAGTGATACTAATGTCATGGTGCTAAAGTTTGCAGCTTGTTTGTTCTGAGTGCTATGTAAACTGAATGAACAATCACTAGTGCAAAGAAGTTAGACTAAGCAAGCAGTTCAGGCAGTGTTTTCCACAGAAGGGGAGATACCTCCAGTGAAGGAATTCTGAGCAAAGTGACAGCATACACGATGCTCAGGGGATATGTAAGAAGTCTGGATGCAATCTGGCTACATTAGTACAGCCCCTGTGTTCCAGCTAATTGAGATGAATGGTAGATAGAAGTGCACTAAGAAGAGTAGGGATAAGGCATATACTACATAGTGATCCACAGGATCTTGGTGACTGCTCCTCAGCTTTGAAAACCAGACTGGCAATGGTTTTACCTCCTGTAAATCCTTGAGCCTGGGAATGTTGATTTACTACATGAATTGAGTAGGAGTGGATGTGCAGAAATAACTCATATGCCCTCCTTTTTTTTTTTCCCCCTTTTTTATGACAGCTGTTTAGAAGGTTTTGGGTTGGATGCAAAACCAAAGCTCGCTTCGTATCACAAAATTTTCCTTACACCCAGTGAAGAGGAAAAGGGCAACCTGCCTACTCCAGATGATGGTAATTTATAGCTCATGTTGCTTTTGGCTTACTGAGAAGGAAAGTGCCTGGCCTAAACGGTTATCAGAGCAGCTTGTGGAAGTGCTACTTAATTGCCTCTTCAGAGTATAGGCACTGCAAAGACAGCATAAAGAAAGGAAAGTTGTGCTAAAAATGACTTGCGCTTGCATCATGCCTTTTTATTAAAAATTCACCCCCCACATGCTCAGGAGTAATGGCTATCAGTCTGGAGATCTCTTTCCCATTTTGTGGCCAGTGTCAGTGCCCAGATACATACTATTTGTAGCTCTATTTTTTTTCTCAAGGCCTATAAAAAGCTTCTGACTGTCTGTTGTACACAGGAAGAAACATTTTGCTCTTTTAAGAGAAAAGATGGAAAATTTGGGGGCTGGATTCAGTGTGGGAGCTGTGAGCTGAAATGCACAGCAGAGTGGTGCTCTTTTTTTTATATTAATATTCATTTGGATGTACTGCAATCAAATGAGTCTGTTTTGCAGGGAAATACAGCAAAACAGATCAGCGTTTCTTTATAGAGCATCCTGTTGCTGTGTCAAATTATTCCATGACTCAGTTACCCTCCACCCACCATCTCTAACGATATTTGGCAACATAAAGGACTGTCCAATGTAAAGGAATGTCCTTTATGTGCTTTAGCATTCTGTGTATGAAAGATCATCAAAATTCTGATGAGATGGTTTTTGAAGGCAAAAACAAGCTAGAATCATGGTCACTCCTACTTGTTTCTTTCAGGCAGTTGAAATATAGTAAAAGAAGTGTCCTGCTATTTTCTGTATAAACTAAGTAGTCTGGCTTAGAACCTATAGAGGCAGTAGACAAAATTGAGCAACTCCTCTGACTCTAGCAGTTACTATGGACCAGTGCTGTTCCAAATGAGATGTTTTTCCTTTATCTGCTGCTTGACTTGTTAGACAAAAAATGATTTTTCATTTGTATTTTCTTTTGTTTCTTAGTGCATCAGGAGATTCTGAGAACAGTAGAAATCATATGGAAGCAGCTCATTTCTCAGAGGCGGCAGGCTCTGGAGGACGCTTACAAGATGGATCTTTCTGTAAAAGGAAATGATAGAGAAAGGGACATGAAGTTAACAGAAATCACTCCTTTATGGGAAGAAATTATGACAAAAGCTTGGCAACACTTGATAGGTATCTGTTCTTTTATGGAACACTCATTGTACTAAGCAAAGACATTGCGGGAAACAGCGCTTAATGGAAAGTCATTGATGCTTTGGTTATATCCCTCCTCTGCACATCACCTGCTAGATAAAGCAGATTCTCAGTGACTGTCATCCAGGAATGTGATTGCTTTCTGTGTCATGCTCTAGCCCTTCTGTAACCACAGATGATGATGGGTGATGTTGTAGGGCTCGTCAATTGTATCCCATAGGAGAATTTAAAAGGGAGGTTATTCGGGTGAAGAAGGGTGTCCCAATGTGTGTAGTGCTGCAGTGATTCAAAGTTCATGTCTGTGTAATGAAACTGATCTATGGCAGACCTCTGTGAGGTTTTTAAAGATTTGAGAAGTACCTGTTAATTCAATGTTTCTCTTACAAATAGAAGGACAATCCAGCTGGAGTGAGGCACTGCCATTTTCTTGTGTCTTGTGTAATGGGGAGACAAATCCTCTATCTTCCCACAGGCTCAACTTCAAGTCTTACAAGCTTTTTTTTTGTCTGTTCTGGCCCACAGCATCTGAAAAGAAGCTTCTCCAGAATAAAGCAGGGCCAGGCCTGTCACAGAGCAAGCACAACTCCTGGAGTGAAAGCCTCTCTTCAGCTATGAAGTTGATGCCTGGCCGAAACACAAAGGAAATTACATGCAAATCTGAGGTAACTTCTGCTCTTTGTCTTCTTTGACTCTATCACCGGTCTGCCTTTTATACGGCTCTGAAGAGTTTGTCTGGACTTGGGAGGCTTCTGAGTATGTCTGTTGAAATATCCTTTGTAAACTAGACACCCACTGCAGTTAAGGTTCCTTTTCTAGACTGCTAAAAATAAACACTAAGAAATTGTCATTGATATGAAGAATTTTGGTTGGCACCGATTAGATGTTATTTGTTTAACTGGGTTAGGGCTAGAGTAACTAGCTATAGGTGTCATGGTTTAAGCCCAGCTGGCAACTCAGAACCACGCAGCTGCTCGCTCACTTCCCCGCCCCCCCCACCTTCTTTCTCCCCCCACTCCCGGACAGATGGGGAGGAGAATCGGAGGAATGTAACTCCCACGGGTTGAGGTAACAGCTCTCCAGTAACTAAGGTATAATACAAACCACTGCTGCTACCAATAATGATAATAATGATAAGGGAAATAACAAGGGGAGAGGATACAATTGCTCAGCACCTGCTGACCGATACCCAGCCCGACCCGAGCAGTGATCTGGGCCTTTCGGGTAACTCCCTCCAGTTCCTATACTGGGCATGACGTGCTGTGGTGTGGAATACCCCTTTGGCCAGTTTGGGTCAGGTGTCCTGTCTCTGCTTCCTCCTGGCTTCCCCTCCTCCCTGGCAGAGCATGAGACTGAGAAAGTCCTTGGTCAGAGTAAACATTACTGAGCAACAACTAAAACCATCGGTGTTACCAGCGTTGTTCCCAGACTGAAATTCAAAAACACAGCACTGCACCAGCTACTGAGAAGGAGAAAAAATGACTGCTGTAGCTGAACCCAGGACAATAGGTTTGAGCTGCAGTGCACTGACAGAATATTCAGAGATTTGGACTGAGTTTGTGTTATTGCAGTGCTGAACATATTAAGGTCCTTTTTTCTCCTGCTGAGGAGACAGTGAGTCTGCTACAGCATTAATTTGGGAGTCTTAACCCTCTAACTCAAGCTATAGCAGATTGCAGCTTTAAACCAATGATGGCTGTTTCAATTCCAGATGTGATGATGAGGAAGTTTATGATACCCAAGTAATGTGTCTGATAGTACCTTACTGAGCTGCAAGCTTTTTCTCAGCATGTCACAGCATCCTTCTTTTTCCTTAAATCACTTTGCTGCTTACAGAGTGAGCAAGCTCTTCACAGGTACATATGTAGACTGTGATGTCATACTACAAGAGCATTGACTATTTGCCCTGGGGTCTGTTTAATTATTTTTTAAAATTAATTTTGATTATTACAGCTGATTACACCTCAGTGAGCAATGTAATTGATATTTGTAAATGTATCCCAAGGAACATTTTGTACAACATGCTTTTTGCTGTTGAAGGTTAAAGACTCCGTTATTGGTTTTTCCCTAAATATGCCCACATCATTAGTTCCTCCAGTGAAAAGGTTGCCATCTGGAAAAGGCAGCGCGGAGACATTATTCAGGCACAAGTGCATGAAATTGGTGTTTCTGCATCTTCTGTCTCTCTTCTGCAAGGAAGCGGTTTGTAATTAAAGGAGCTGGGTTTGGAGGAAACATTACTCATTTGGTGTTATTCCTTATCATGTCAAAGACTGACAGCTCCACAGCTCTGATAAATTGTTCCTCTCAATGAGATATGAATACAGTTCCAAATGTTCTTCTCCCTCTACCCCTTTCTCCCTCCAGCCTAACTTTGAAAGAGTTTGATGCACTTTTCAGACAGATGAAATCTAAGAGGAAGAAATTAATTTCTTTGCTCCTTAACATCCCTCTTTCTTTGTAAGCTTCACTAGTAAGGTATAAAGTGAAAATTTCCATATCAAAGGAAGTTGGGAGCACAAGTTGCATTAAAAGTGCTTAGTATTTCTGCTTTTAACTCATATTTTTGACCTCACTTAGGCAGTCACTTTCTAAAGTGTTGTAATGTGATTTTGAATAGTCTGCTGTGTCTCAGGTGCCTTCTGTATTCACTTGGGGAAAAATCTTCAGATACTGGCCTCTGTCTTCACTACTGCTAGTATGGACCTATATGTCCTACAGCAATAGGCACCTGGCTGAAACACTGCGATACAAGGACAAGTAGCAGTATGAACTACATCTTGAGAGACAAAGCATTTAAATCCCATAGTGAAATAAAAAAATCTTTGCATTAACAAAGAGCTAAGCATGATTGTTCCTAACTGAGCAAAACTTACCAAATTTGACAAAAGTGCAGAAATTCAGCCAGGATTTCAAAGCTTTGCCCAATAGGAAGAAGAAATTAGTTGGTTACTGCATTATTTGTTGATTTTCATTCAATAAAGGAACCAAATTAAGACATTCAATCAGTAGTAGCATTTGCTGCAGATTAAAAAATAGCAAAACAAACAAAAAAACCCCCCACAAACCCCAAAACACAGCAAACAAAACACCTCCTTCAAAACTATTAACTTTTTCCCTGTTGTCGTTTACAAGATAACATGAGTACTTTTGGGACCAAATCCTCAATCTGGAAAAAATGGCAAAATTCAACCTATTTACTCTAGCAAAGGGTCAGGCCCCATGTTCCTGCTGTACTTTCACTCAGGATCTCCAGCACCAGCAAAGGCAATTCCCTGCAATTTGGTGACAAATGTCAGAATTGGCAATCAAATGGAGTTGTGTTTTCCCCATATTTCTGAATCCATTTTGCTATCTTATGCTGTGATCTGGGCTTTGTCTGGAAGGTATGATCATTCAGAAGCGAAACCATGATAACATTTCTGGTAGTAGAATGGCAATGATCTGCTCTGGTAATTGCTTTTTTGTGCTTTCTTGGAAGTCTGAGTAACCATGGAGAAGCAAAAGGAGCACTCTACAAAGTCAGATTTTTTCATGCTTACAGGTCACAGGTAAATTTGCCAGCAGGAGGGTCTATAAGACTGAATGCAACGCCAAAGGTTTCAAAATCATTTACTTTCCTGTTTCAAAGTGAAACTTCTGATCTCTTGCTCTTTGTCCTCTCTTCCTCCCAGTCCCTATATCCATATCTAGGATACGTATTGAATTTTTAGGTTAGCAATATCCGATTGTTTTTGTCATCTTCAAGAAGCTGCAAAAGCAGAAGGGATAAGAATAACAGTCATATTTCAGAAAGCTGTAAATCAGTAAACAGCTTCTACCATGCAGTGTCCTGAGGTTCTTCCTGAGGATGAGTGCCTGAGCAAGGATACAAGCAGCATACTTCTCATGACTGTAAGATACACTGCTTCAGGAGTGTAGATGTAGTTGTTCTGCTATACAAGAAATACAGAGCCTCTCGAATTTTACAGCAGGCCTGATCATGCTTGTCCCCTTCTGGTTTGGTTCATTAACTGCATTCCTTTATGCCAGAGACCCATGTACCTTGAGAAAACAAAACAGAAAAGGTATTTTTAATCGCAGACTTCAGAATGAAGAGGTTAACTGAGACCTTCTAACTTGTAATTGCAAAACCTGAAATTTTATGGTAGGATTCTGGTCAGCAAACATACACTTGTGAAAACAGCCGTAGATAAAGAGCCAGCATCTGACCACCTTTGTGCTAGTTTTGTCACTCTGTCCATTGCAAGAGAATTTCTCCTAGTTAAATGATGGGAGAAGGCAGCCTTTGAACTCTTGAGGATTTTTTGAGCAGTTTGATGGATAGCTTGGTTTCTGCTCTGGTGCCCTTAGTATATGCAATGTTACTGCAGAGCTAACAGCAAAAAAGCATTTAACGGTGTAGCTCTATGAACCAGAAAATACTGGATGCAAAGTTTGGCTTTACTAGGAGTGATTAATTTTTCTTTAGTTGACTTTATAGCACGAGCCCATCTCTTGTGCTTACTTTTGTAAGTAACAGCCAGATTGTTAAACCCACAGCAAATCTATAAAAGATAACTGCATCAAATGTCTGTGAGAGCCGTCTTTATCCTTGTGAATTACTTTCTGAAGTCAGGATCTTCAAGAAAAGACCTCTGGGCTGAGACTTAAGTCACTGTCAGACACAAAATCTGTTTCAGCGCGGCCTTGAACAAAAAAAGCTTCCTGATTTGGGATGAAGGAAGGACAAGCTCAACTTAGTTCATGATAGCTGAAATGAAGAAGATAGATAGAAATATTTGAAACAAAATCACAGTTATCACTTAAATATTTTTCTTACCACTTACTTGGGCTTTTGTCAGCTTTTCACGTTAACTAAGTTAAAACAAGCAAACATAATGATATTCCTTTGAATAGTGCATCGTTTGTGTAACATCTTTATCTTCATAATAGGATAGTTAACATCACTAATTATCTAATTAAGTTCATTAACTATCCACCAACAGTGCACCATGAAGTTGACATTATGTTCTTCTGTCAACAAATGCTTTGATTTCTTAGGAAGTAATTAAAATGTAAATTAGCATGTCATTAGATGCACAAGGGAAGTTTGGAATCAAATATTCATTTCAAAACTGCTCATAGCACACATTTTTTTACTTTGATGAAAGTAGGCACTTTACTATTAATGATGTATATTAAACAATTTCCATTATAATATTATTATCTTGTTTAATAACTGGCTCAAATCTAAATTACAGTATGCTGCAGCAAGCTGGAAGAAGTTTCTTTAACTTTGAACAAAGAAATTTTTATGTCCTTTTAAGCAGATATCTGACACACTGCTCATTTTTCATTTTCAGATTGTTTACAAGATCATAAATAAACAATTCAACAGGTCAGTAAGTTAGGTAAGAACTGCATGATAACATCAAATGCAGTGCTATCTTATGTAATACAAATCACTGAACTTTCTGAAATAAATGCATTGAAGATAACTGTTTATTAGAGAAGTTGAAATATAAAGGTTGTAAGTTGATGAATACAAATTAGGCTGTCTCAGATCCACAGCCCACTCTCCCCACAGTCTGACCCCTAAAAGTCCAGTATCGGTTGTTGCAGGAGATGATGTGTGACAGCACAATGCACAGTAGAAAATTTATCTTAGCAAAATTATTTCTTT